TGAATTACCTATAAAGTAATAAAGGCAGGATAAAAATCTAATAAATAAAAAAGGTTGAGAAGGAGAAGTAAGTGCAGCACATTCAGACTTGGAAGATTCTGATTTTTATACTTTTATAAAAGTAGTTTTAGCCTTTTCTGTGGAGTTTTATTTTCTGGCCTGGTCTATTTAGTAGGGCTGATGAACTGGGAGACTCCTTTAAGTTCTTCCTTAAGTAAGGAAGATGGCTGGGTCACTTTGAGCATAAACCGTGGTGGCACAATGTTTAGAATGCTTATCGCAGGCTAATTCTGCCAGCAGTTTTAACTCTCACTGGCTCAAGATTGACTCAGCCTTCCATCCTTCTGAGGTCAGTAAAATGAGGACCCAGATTGTTGGGGACAATAGGCTGATTCTGTAAACCGCTTAGGGCTGTAAAGCACCGTGAAGCAGTATATAAGTCTAAGTGCTATAAACAAAGCCACCTTCTTTCAGGCCAAGGAAGCACTATGAATGCTGCTTTAAGTTGTACTATATAAATAAAAAATAAATATTTATCTTACACTTTATTTTATTCTTTCATAAAGTTGGAAGTTATGATTTGTTGTTTTGCTTCTGATTGTTTTGGAGAGACATGTCAGATCCAAGGTTGGATAATAACACGTTGTCCATACTTTGTTAAGCTGTTCTTACTAGTAGGAGGAACAAAATAGGAGTGGTTGAATTGGGTATAGTAGAATAGTGATTCATTTGTGTTAACCCAGAATTCTCAGAAACTCTGCCTTGTTATGATTTATTTATTTATTGCTTATATCTATATCCCATTTTTGTCAAAGTGTATGTAATATACTACATGTGGGGAATATAGAGTTGAATGACAGTGACTGACTGAAAATCACTCTATAAACTGTACAGACTTAGGTATCAGTTTTCCCATCCTGGCCCAGCACTTTCACCACTACACTCTGAACTTTCAGCATACCTTTCTAATTATTTTTTATTTCAAAAATAATTGCTTTAGCCTCAATGCTGGTTTTCTAAAAAAAAAAAAATCCCACAACAACTTCATGGTCAATATTACTGATGGCCAGATGCTGCAAAATAAAATGGGAATGTGAGATAACTTCTAGGCTCATCTATAGCATTTGAATGGCATCTGATGTGTCACTATCAAAAAAAATTTTTAGAGCTAATTTGCCATGGCTGTTCCGATGTGATGAATAAAATCTGACTATTTTGTACATAGCTGTTTGAAGACTGGATTTAATCATAAATATTTCTTCTACCAAATGTGAAATTTGAAGCATGCATTCAAACATGTATCTTGAAAATGGGATTTATGCTAATTTTTTTAGGGAGCTGCTAAGAGATCTGTCAGAAACTAGAAATATATTACAGTGGTTCAAACAAATTAGAAAAGGTTTTTTGTAGAAATATGGAAATCCTTTTTTTAAAGTTCTCATCATTCTGTGCAAAAGAAATGCAAAATCCTGACACTTAAAAAAGATGTTTGTGGTGTTCAGTACTCAGTAATAATCAGTCCTGTGTAATACTGTGGATTTTGAAGACATGAAAGTGCTTTGGATCACATGAAAACATAAACATTATCCACATCCTCTACTTCTTAAGGCAGCCATGTCACTTCCTGGGATCATACAGTCGGTTTACGGAGTCAGGACAGATACTACTGTATGTTTGAGACTCAGCATCCTTCAAATCCCTTTCTGACTGATCTTGAATAACTGCACAGCCATAGTGGTGATATGTCCTTCATATGTCATTTAATGTGTGACCAGTGTCAAATATGGCAACACTTTTTCTTTTAAAGGAAATCTACGTTTTTCAATGTATTAACCAAGAGCCAAGCTGCAGCAGAAAACTTTCCTTTCTGCACTATTGATCCAAATGAGAGCCGAGTACCTGTGCCAGATGATCGATATGAATTTCTCTGCCAGTACCATAAGCCTCCAAGGTAAATATGTGAAGTATGTTTGTTTCTGGTTAAAAACCTACCTTTCTCAGTATTGCTATTTAATAGGTTTAAATTCTGCAACTTTATATTGGGAACGTTAAAGGTTTTATAATGGTGTCTTTATTATCTAAGATATTTTAAAACATGGATTATTTTTCAAGAGTAATATATTTGAGAAACTCTTATACCCATACATAGATATAAATTTGTGTGTGAGTAAATGACTCACTGATAACGGTTAATGAAAAATGTTCTGTTAAGAAGTAAGGCAAATTTCGAAACTAATTTTATCTTTTGAGGGCGTGAGAAAACCCCTGAGGGTTTTCTTTTCTCTTTTGCTTCAGTTGAAAATTGCTAATTTTCCTATGCATTATTATTCTTTATTGAAATTGTAAACAAATAATTGCATTTTTAAAGCAATTACTCAATTAAAGGGTTTGTTTATAATTAATGCTGATTTAAAACATAAGGACAGTTTAGCAAGGAACAGAGAGCAGGAGAACCATACCTGATTAGACTCAACTATTGTAAAATCACATCAACATCGCATCTGTTTTTTCTCCACCCTATTCTGCTTTTTATACACATATACATACACAAACACATACACGTACACACACACACACATTCATGCACAGACATATATATACATATATACATCCACGCAACACATACATGCATTTATAAAAAATTATATGCCCTCCATCTTGTCCAGAGATGACTCTAGGTGGCTTACAAATATTGCATCATTGGCATGCATGAGATTCTATGTAATACCACAAACTTTATGCTCAGTTTCTGTCTCCCCTCTAAATTATAACAATCTTATAGTTGTGGGAAATTCATGCTATAACCTGAAAGGTAATTTTTGTAAAATGTTGTACTTTCGGTATATGATTCCAGAAAAATTGTCTCGAACGTATAACGATATATGAACAACATGAAGGGTCATTTTATAGTGCCTGGTGAATTTGTAAAAAAGCCAGAAATTTCTGTGTTCAGATACATATTGTACAAGATACGAGAATTTTAAATATCAGCATTCAACTGGAATCAGAACTTTTCTTGCTCGCATTTATGAATAGCCGGTTAGAAAAGAGCTATGGAATATTATTTTATATATGATTATTGCTGTGAGACTATTATACGCACAAGTGAAAAGGCTCTGAAATATCTACAATAGAGAAGAAGATGACAGAAATAACAGAGATGGTAAAATTAACTTGTTTGATCAATAGCTTCATAAATCAGTAACTGGAAACCCCTTGTGGACTTTTTGTTGAAAAAAGAGAAAAATGAACTTGTGATTTATAGGTTTGAAGATTAGAAAACATAGTTTATATAAAGAGGAAATTAAGATGAAACCTTAGAGAGGATAAAATAAAATTTCATTTGTAACTACTATCAAAAAGATAGAAAGCTGCTTCTTTCTAATCTTTTCTATTTCTTTTCATATTTTCTATCTTACTTATTCACTATTCTTTCTTATTTTTTTTGTCTGTTTGTTAATACTTGTATATTTTTGAGTTAAAATTTTTTTCAATAAAAATTATATTAAAAACCGTTGTAGGAAGGACACACTGCTTGATTTAGAAACATTGGGTATAACAATGATTTCAAATGGTATATATGTTTTGTTTCTTTACTGTCTTCTTAATTTATTGCTCAGCATATTTACACTGTAGATAAGTACACCTTGGAGGTATCTTTTTCAAGTAGTGAGCACCATCAGTGTGAGTTCACTACTGCTAAAAATAATATATATATATTTTGGGGGATAATCTATTTATGAATATTTTATATGCTTTTCATCAGGTAAGAGAGAAAACCTAATGATGATATCAGTAGGCCATCCTCTGAAATTTGGTTTTTTTAAAGTTTTTTTTAAAAAAATACTGAGGATAGTTGGTACCATGTAACAGTTTGATGCTGCAAAGTCGATGGATGCTTTATAGGCAACTACTACTTTATATTCTTCTGTGTATATTGTAGATAATTTCTAGTTTATAGTAACATGGCCATATATTGTTAATGACTAATATTTTAAATGTTTCCCTTTAGCAAAATTCCAGCCTTTCTGAATGTGGTGGATATTGCTGGACTTGTGAAAGGAGCCCATGCTGGACAGGGACTAGGAAATGCCTTTTTGTCGCATATTAGCGCTTGTGATGGAATCTTTCATCTACTTCGTAAGCAATTTAAGGTTTTAATTACTGTATTGTGTACATTCTTATTATTCCTTTCTGTTACTAGATAAAATCCTTTGTAATTTATTATATAATACTTCAGTAGATGCGTGTTTTCAGACTGAAACTTGTTAAGAAGATCCCTATTCCCATTCATAATTTATCTGAGGCGGTGTGTCATATTTAAAATTACATTGATAAACTTCTCTGTATGCGCTGGGGGTCCTTTGCTCCCATTGTCACAATGTCTCTCAATTTTGTTCCAGAGTAGATTAATTGAAGAGAAAGTTAGAGTATTTCCATTTGTGATAGATGAGCCCCATCCACCAGTTGTTTCCACACTGTTGGCATACTACAGAATAACAGAAGTTGGAAGAGATCTTGGAGGTCGTCTACTCCAACCCCCCTTGTGGGGAACCTACTTCAGATTTAGTTTTGATTGGTCCTGCTTCAGAAAGCAAGCTTGAGGAAAAACATTAATTAGTAAACAATTCAATCAGAACAGAGCTGGAAGACCTTGGAGGTCTTCTAGTCCAACCCTGTGCTCAAGCAGGATACCCTACACCATTTCAGACAAGTGACTGTCCAGCCAACCTCCAGTGATGAAGCACCCACAACTTCTGACGGAAAGCTGTTCCACTAGTTAATTGTCTTCACTGAGAATAGAATAGAATAGAATAGAATAGAATAGAATAGAATAGAATAGAATAATAATTTTATTGTCATTTTGAATGTACACTTAACGGCATACATTAAAATGAAATTTTGTTGCATTCAGTTCTCAAAGGGTCACCACCTCCGATATACACTACATAAATATGACATACATACATAAATAAATAAATAAATAAATATAGAATTGTGCATATACCCACATATATTATATGACACAGAAAAACAACAGTCTAGTTTGGGTTATGTATAGATGTGCATGGCGAGAAAAAACGAATCTTGCGAGTTTACCAGACGGATGGCATAGGGAACAAAGCTATTACAGAATTGGGTAGTCCTGCTAGAAATACTTCGAAACCTCCTCCTAGAGGGGAGCGACAGAAACAGACCGTAAAGTGGGTGTGTGGGGTTTCTAACAATGCTTTGAACTCTAAGCACATAGCGCTTATAAGCAGGAAGCGAGCTTCCTATGATCTTCTCGGCTTACCAATCTCTGTATGGACTTTCTATCTGAGGCACTGCTGCCACCAAACCAGACAGTGACGCAGTTTATTAAAATGCTTTCAATCGTGCCTCTGTAAAAAGTGGCCAGGACAGAAGGAGAAAGATCCGACGCAGGAAATGCAGACACTGGTTTGCATGCTTCACTAAGGATGACGTGTGGAGAGACCAATTCAGATTGTTAGTTATCTGCACCCCCAGATACTTAATACTGTTGACCACCTGTATGGCTGCATCCTTGATACTGAGTGGAGTATGACTATGCCAGCTCTTTCTAAAATCTAAAATGATCTCCTTTGTTTTATCAACATTGAAAACCAGGTTACTTTTATTGCACCAGGCCACCAGAGCCTTCACCTCTTCCCTATAAGCATCTTCATTGTCATCCTGGGTAAGATCCACCACTGCCGTGTTGTCTTCATACTTCACAATATGATTCGTAGCAGATTTGGCACAGCAGTCGTGGGTCATCAAGGTGAACAGTAGCTGACTCAGGACACAGCCCTGTGGGGAACCCGTACTCAAGGAGATGGAGTTGGAAACTTTCTTTGCAACTCGCACAACCTGGGGCCTATGAATAAGGAAGTTTCTCCTTAATTCCAGGTTGCTTCTCTCCTTGATTAGTTTCCATCCATTGCTTCTTGTCTTGTTTTCAGGTGCTTTGGAAAATAACTTGAGCCTCCTCTTCTTTGTGACAATGATTTTATTTTCTTCAGGGCAGCTGAAGGGGCAACATTAGCACTCTTCTTTATATTGCATTTATATTTGTACTTTGTTTTTTATTTTAATTTAAAAGACATATAGGTTAAAGAAAAGAATGCAGACTTTTATTCTAATCAGAATAAAGTAGTTTTGTTTCTTTTGTTTCTCTAACCTGAATCAAAGATACATTTAGACTTTTATAGCTTTTCTTAATCTTTCAAGAAACTTCAACAATTATGTATATTGTATCAAACAATAATTTTCGAACATTTTGGTTTCAGAGAACTCCTTTACTCTACAGGTAGTCCTTGACTTACAACCATTTGTTTAGTGACCCTTTGAAGTTACAGCGGTACTGAAAAAAGTGACTTATAACTGTTTTTCCACGCTTACAGCCATTGCAACACCCCCATGGTCACATGATCAAAATTAGGACGCTTGGCAGCTGGCATGTATTTATGACTGTTGCAATGTCCCTGGCGTCATGTGATACCTTTTGCGACTTTCTGAAAAGCAAAGTCAATGGGGAAGCCCAATTCACTTAACAGCCGTGTAACTAGTTTTAACAACTGCTGTGATTCACTTAACAGTTGTGGCAAGGAAGGTCGTAAAATGGAGCAAAATTCACTTAGCAAGTGCCTCACTTAGCAATGGAAATTTTGGGCTTAATTGTGATTGTAAGTGGAGGGCTATCTGCACATTCCTAAAAACGATTGAGGGAGGACCCCAAAGGGCTTTGGTTTGTGCGAATTATATCAATTTATATTTACTATATTAGAAATGTGAGTACTTCTAAAATATTTATTTGACTTTGCAGACCCCCTGAAAGGGTCAATGGCTGTTTTTTCCCCTCTTTGAAACATGAAAAATACCTATGTTATGGATTGGCTCATCTTTTAAGGTATTTGCCGGCATTTTTTCCAGAAGGCATTTGATTTACTCAGAATGATTTTTGGTACAATTTTTAATTTAGCATAATAGCATATGGAACACTAGGGTCAGCTGTCATTCTGTATCTTATTCAGTTATTAATTATTATTATTATTATTATTATTATTATTACATTATTACATTATTACATTATTACATTATTACATTATAGTATGAATGCAGTCCTCAACTTACAACCATAATTGAATCTGCGGTTTCAGTTGTAAATTGTGATGGTGGTAAAGTGAGTCATCACATGACCAGGCCCAATTTTATGGCTTTTTTGTGGTGGTGGTTGTTAAGCAAATGTCACCATCATTAAGTGAACAGATTTGTTCGCTATTGGATGTTTCTTTTGGCAGACATGGGCAGTAAATGCCAGTTTCTTAAAAACAGTGAAAATTGCAGTCACATGTCCACAGAACACTACAATCAGCTGTAAATGTGTGCTAGCCCAAAATGTGGTCATGCCTGCAAGGTGTGTGTGGGGGAGTCAGAACTTCAAATCTGGGTGCTAAGTGCTATAACATTGAACAATCTCTAAGCGACCGGTCATAAGTTAAGCACTACCTCCACTGCTTTTGTAAAAAACATTCAAAATAGCTCATGTTTTGGGTCCATGCAATATTAGCAAATATGTAATATATTTTTTCATGATTGCGGTCCCCAATCTTATTTAAGGCCATTGAGATAATTTTATTTTTTAAAACTTGCAATACAGTACACATTGCAGTTTTCAAAAGCCATTTAATAAGACTTGGATACTGTAATTGCCATATCTCCCACCTGCCTCTTGGCAAGTTCTCTTCCCATGTTACATTCTTGTGATCTCAAAAAAAAAAAAAGTAGAAATCATCCCTGCTGATAGATATTGCTGGAAACTGCTTGCAGGAGGGAGAGATATGTGATGATGCTTGTGTCGCTACACTTCATTGCACCAGCATTTGAGTGAACAAAGCCAGAGCCACCTCTCCTTCCCTCAGCATGTGCAGTTTTCCTTTGTGCAGCTGTACTTAGGCTTTGACACCTTTATTGCATTTGAACTCACTCCAGAAATTTGGAGTTTAGATGTCAACATTTGCTTGGAGATGAATTTAAGATGTACCAGCATGTAGGAGTTTCAAGCTGGCGGTGTGCTATAGAATCCAAGCTGGCGTCTTATGGTCTTTCAGCTGGGTTCCTTCTTATCCTGGGATATGAAAAGGCCAGACACTTACTTTTTCAAAGGATAGATGATGTGGAGTAGCAGCTGAAGGTTAGCAGGATACAAATAACAGTAGAACTTGAATTTGAACACGATTTGGGTACTGCCAAATATTTCATACCTCTTGCTTGCCCCATGCCGAGGAATTACTTTCTTTGGGCATGGCATAAATGTTACTATCACTATCTGATTTGAGGAAGAAGAGCGTGCCAAGAGGTTAATTTGGGCATATCCTGAGGTAATATGCAAGTACAATAATTTGTAATTTGTACTTGCATGTTTGCGAGACAAGGATCCAGTTTGGAACTACTGTTGCTAAGACAGTTTTGTGGAAAGTAATGTTGTTATTTGAGATCAGGAAAAGGGGGATTGATCAAAACTTTTTAAGGATCAGTGAATTAGGATAATATTTGCAGCCAAAAGAAAGCTGGATGTTTTAATGCAGGATATATAACAGCTGGTAATGTAAAAGCTTTGTTACCTACAAAAGATTTTTTTGTTGCAAAATGAAAAATAGAGCACTATTAAGTATTAGAACTATTGTAGTTTCAAGTTTGTTTCTCTTTCAGTGAATTGTAAGAGGTTATAACCAGGTAGGTTTTAACATTGGAACATCTGTTTTAACATTGGAAAAACTCTTACTGTTCTGAGATAGGCACATGGCTGGCATAGCATGTTTTCAAAGGGTTTAAATTACCAGAGCATGAGCCATACAGCAAATGTGCTTGTTATATTTTCTCAGCTGTCAGAGTTGAGAGATTCTGAAATAACTTAGAAGAGGAATGAAAAAGTTCTGGCCCAGTGAAGGCAACAACAATTGTGAGAATAATAAAGAATTCTTTCCTTTTTCCTCCTATCTATTTTTCCTCCTATCTGAATTGTCATCTCTACCACTCCACCGCTGATTCAGGATTGGCATAGAGCCATTCTGTGAGATAGGAGATGACTGTTGACTGTTTTTTTTCCTCCTTTCCCATTTTCCCATTCTTCTTTC